TGCCCCCTTCATGAACCAAGGATCAGCGGGGGGTTCATGAGCTAGCTAATTTGTCATTCTGTATCGCTCTGAATTCCCATCCCCGAGGTGGCTAATTTATCATTCTGTCTGTATCCAGCAAAGTTCGCACCTACTTGCAAGCAAGCAAGCAAGCCTCTGCGTATCGCAGCTCGGACCTCCAATTCTATGTCTGGCTGAATAAAGACACAGAATCAGAAGAAACATCTCCATTTCCAAATCTATTTCAACTTCACTACATAATTATATACATTTTTTTTACTTGGTTAAATAATTATTGTTGTTGTTGTTGGGTGCTGTATTACTCTTAAAAAGAAAGTCAGATATACGACATTTTCTGAATTCAGCAGAGAAAACAGAAAAAACCTAACACACAGACCATATGGATTTCACAGCCCGTACCCTATATTTGATCACCCCCCACAGCTCAAACCACAGTTGTACACCAGTCGCAGAATCAGAAGCAACATCTCCATTCCAAATCTATTTCAACTTCAGTAGACATAGTATATAATTATATACATTTTTCTTGATTAAATAACTGTTGTTGTATTGGTATTACTCTTTAAAAGATAAAAATCAATAGGAGGAGGAGGAGGAGGAGGAGGAGGGGGGGGGGAGGAGGAGGAGGAGGAGAGGAGGGGGGGGGAGGAGGAGGAGGGGGGGGGGGGGGAATTAGGTCAAAGGGGACCTGTCAAAATGGGACTTGACGAGACCCTGCCCCTAATGTCTCTCTAGTGGAACTTTTTTTGGGGAAAGTTGCCCCACTTTTCAGAAAAGTGAACCATACAAACAGTGAAGCATGGTAGTGGTAGTATGATGGTCTGGAGCTGCTTTGCCGTTTTAAGACATGAATGATGTGCAGAAACCATAATTTTTCTTTCTTCTCTCTAAATGAAAAATCTTGAAATAATCAAGTGTTTGGGATGTTATGCAGCAGGTTCAACCCAAACAAAATGGAAGGTTGCTGAGCAGTTGGGTCACTGTGTGCGCTTAAAGTGGATTGAGATGCTGCAAAGTAACCTTAAACTGACACTGCATGTTCATCGGTTCATTTCTGTCTGATGCTCTTCAGTAACCAAGAAAGACGAGCTAAACCTGCTGAAATCCATAAAAGAAGCAGATACTTTTTCATAGCACACCATTTCTCTGATACTCAGTGCAAACAGTTAAAAAAACAACATTAAGGCCGCATCTGTTGCAAACAACATCTAATATTAGTTTATAATATCAAAACAAGACTGGTTAGAGAAAACTCCACAGTGCATCCCAAATTTAATATGACAGTTTTCACTTATTCTGCCTTTCTTTTTTTCCTACCATCCCAGCTGTCACCACCTATAAAGGAGGGAAATTTACCCAAAGTAAAGTCAAAAAAAAATTCAAACGAGAAAATCTTTAAAATAGAAACAGCATCACATAAAACGGGCCGTGTACTCAGACGTGGCCGATCTGAGTACCTTCCGTCCATGTCCTGGCCTTTCGGCGCCTCTCCGATGTCGATGGTGAACATGACGATCTTGGGCGTCATGGTGGACATCTTGTTGCTGAAGCAGAACCTGTAGGTTCCGTCCATGTGTGCAGCCACGGAGTATTTCCCACTCGACTCTCTGTCTCCTTTGTAAATCTGTTTACCATCAGGCCCAGTTATCTGAAGAGAGAACAATATCTGGGTAAGAAATAATGAAAGGGTGCAGTTTCACCCAGAAAACTTGCTAAGGCTGGTGGTAGGAGGCGCTGCTGTGTTTGAGTTAAACAAAAACAACTCAAATTGTGTAAAATAAAAACTCCTGACCTCTGGCTCCCTATATATGCGCATACTGGCATACGATGTTGCCATTGTGCTTCCAACAGTTTCACTAACGAGAGGCTTGTTAACCCGTCTTTGTTTGCCATCACAGTTACTGGTGTACAACAAATGAATAAAAACAATGCAGCCTGGTGGGGGAGTAAAGCCTGGAGGCCCGTCAGGCTTATGAAGCTCTGTATGGGGCAGATATGTGGTAAATTCTTTTTTGACAATTTTTATTACCATTGTATATCCACAAAAGCACAACAACACTCAAATAAAGGCCCACTCGCCTAGAATCTCAAAGAAATTTTCAGTAATGTTCAATTTTTATGGAAGGTTTAAAAAAAAATGACAGGGAAAAAAGTGAAGTAGTGAAAAGTTGACCCATGTAACACCACTATCCATCGCTGCTACGTCTTTTTCTTCTCTATGAGGAGAGAGATGTACTTGTGATCTTTAACCCGCAGCCTGTGGTCTCTCACTCTTGCGATAATACAGCGACTGTCTATATTTTTCCTAATCTGCGCTTCCATCGACCTGTGAAATTAAGCATTTTGTGCAACGTCATCTCTATCTGATTAGAGCGTCTCCTGCCAATAGACCGTCCAACTGGTGAAGCAACACTTACTACTCCAAACAGTCAATTGCGATATGAATATTGCACTCCGGTATCATGCAGTATTAGGATTAGTACAACAGGGTTACCCTTACAGAATATTTTACTAGCAATTCATTCCAAGTTAAATATAGACCAATCAGCATAGATGCGACTCTGGTCAATAAATTACGACGAATGGAAATGGGTAAGAAATTGATCACTTTATCAGTGGGAGGAACTCAAATCATAATATGCCATCATATTGATCCTCTACTCAACTCAAATGAGTCAAATCTCACTTTGAAGCTTCTACAATACAAGAGCACATCCTAAGAGTATAAATCAGTGATGCACATATCGCAATACACAGGTGTTATCAACAATAATACGTCTCATAGAAAGTTTAATGTTCAATTCATAGATTATTCACGAAACACCAATCCAGAACCGCACAGCATTCTGGGGGATGAAGGCAGAGTAAAGTCTTCAGCCGCTCAACCTCTCAGCTGACTCGCTCTTTCATTACCTAGCAACAACCTGTTTTGGTGTCTGGAAAATGAGCCGTTCCAAAAACCTTCAGCTAACCAAGTCACAATCTGAGGATGCTGCGATGTTGCCTGGCTTCCATTGGCTTAAAGTCTGTTAAAAATATATATATTAATCACCATTTGCTAACCATGAATTTAAAAAAAAGAACATTATTAGACAGTATTTTTTTTAACTGCAGATGCAACCTTTGCTACAAATGATGCTTTTATGCTACATATTGCAATTTTTTTTAAACTGACTTAAACTGAATTATGTTTTTGTGTGTATTTTGTTGTATTTCTAATGTGTGAAAACAGGCTTAAATACAAAAAAAATCTGCAAAATGCCGATGTTTTTTTTTGTCCGATTAATCAATTGTCAAAAATCATAGTTGGCTGCAGCTTTAATCAGGACGTGTATGTGTTTGGCCCAGTCTGAATGTCTGTCCTTCCGTCCAGGTGAAACCATCTTGGGTCTGAGGGAGAGCCTGACGTGGGCCAACATCCTGCCTGAAGGGAGAGGACTCCTCTGTGGCCGTGTCCTCCGGGGGAGAGCTGTTCCTGCGCTTCATAAGCCTCACATCCCTGGAGCATCAGGTGACGCGTGTTTCACGTTGTAGCGTTTGTGACGGCTGACAGCGTGAAGCAGGTTTTCACGTCGCTGCGGAGTCATTTCGAGCCACGTTTTTGAGCATGCCCAAAATTCAGACTTTGATTAGGCCACTTCAAAACCTTTACGTTAGTTGTAATATTTGCCAGTCGCCATTTTCTTCCAAATTGTTTTGGTGTGATTTTAAAAGGCCAATAATTCCTCGTATGGGTCACCACTGATCCATGTTTTTCCAAAAATAAAAACTCTTGACCCAGATCAGTGTCTGCGCTTCATAACAGGCGTTTCTGTCTCCAGGACTTGTCTCGCTGTAAGAAGGTGATGGAGGAAAGAGGAGAACTGTTTCTAGAGAAGATCTCCATGTCCAGGAACAAAGTTGCTAAGCTCTGTCACACCTTCATCAAAGACGGAGCTGTAAGTACTGGTCCTGTCTCCTCTCCTTGCTCTTTGCGCTCGCTTCACCTCGTGCCTTTCTTTCCCCTGCCAATCCTCTCAGAAAATCCTGACTCACTCGTACTCCAGAGTGGTCCTGGGGTTCTGGAGAAAGCTGCAGCGGAGAAGAAGCGCTTCTCCGTCTATGTGACCGAATCGCAGCCTGACGCCACAGGGTGAGCGAGTGAGCGAGGACGAGTTTCTTTCTCACAGGACACGAAATGATTCTGCGTTTTTCTCCTTTTGTTGAAGGCGGCAGATGGCAGAGGCCCTGAAGAAACTCAACGTTCCAGTAACAGTAGTGCTGGATGCAGCTGTAGGGTAAGCTACTCTGGGGTTCTGAGCTGGAGGGGGAACCGCAAATGGTTTATTTAATCATTCTTTCGTCACTGGTTGGATTTTGTTATTGGAAATATCCAACTGGAAAATACATGTCTAAGATAAAATAAACTCCATCAGTTCCATTATGAAAACAAAGAGAAAATAAAGCTATTATTAAAAAAAAAAAATGTTGCTGGTCAATTGATACAATTGTTAAAAAAAAGTCAAGTTAATTTTTTTTAGATATCATTTTAATATCATGTTTAATAAATTTCTCAGTTATTTGTTCATCAGCCTGAGCAGGAGAAAACAAACTTACTGATGTAAAAATGTTGCTTTCTTAGTGACATTTAAAGCCTCCAGCAACTCTGATATACTCTACTAACTGGAGTTTTAGCTTTTGTACAACAGTATTACATGTCTTTTATTTTTGTCTGGGTTTTTTTGTTTTATTTTGGTCACAAAAGTCGCTAAATGCAGCAGCAAATTTGCTAAGTTGGTGACAGTGCGGTGCCGTCAGTCAGGACAGTGGCCGAGTTTCAGACGTTTGCAGAGATAAAATCGGTTTCTCAAGTAACTATCGGCCCTTCGCCCAAAAAGAAGAAAATCTGACCTGATTTATTGATGCATCACTAGATAGTAAATTTTGTTTTGGTATTTAAAATAACCGATCGGATGGTTCAGAAAGAGAACAAGCAAAAGTTGAGGAAAAATGCTTTATTTACTTTCACACCGTTTTAATGAACCTGTTTTTAGAAGCTGCTTAGTTTCAGTTTTCCGTCTTCCAGGTACGTGTTGGAGAAGGTGGACCTGGTCATCGTTGGAGCAGAGGGAGTCGTTGAGAGCGGAGGGATCATCAACAAGGTGCGTTCCCTTGGCGGCCCCGGGTGAAACTCAAACTGGAGGATAGTTGAACACGCGTATCAGATCGGGTCTGTGTAAACACGGGGCGGGTGTACGTTTCCAACAGAATCTAGAGTGTGTGTGTGTGTTTTTCCCCAGATTGGCACCTATCAGATGGCTCTGTGCTCCAAGGCTCACAACAAGCCCTTCTACGTCGTTGCAGAAAGTTTTAAATTTGTTCGTCTGTATCCGCTGAACCAACAGGACGTGCCCGATAAGTTTAAGGTGCGGCTTCCTTATTTTGTGTTTGTTTTTTTAAACAATTTTCCGTCCTTTTATCCAGATTTATTGACTCGTGCTTCCTGTCCCGCACAGTACAAAGCCGACACCCTGAAGAGCATCCGGAACCTGTCGGAGGAGCACCCGGTCATCGACTACACGCCCCCCTCCCTCATCACCCTGCTCTTCACAGACCTGGGGGTCCTCACCCCGTCGGCCGTCAGCGACGAACTCATCAAACTGTATTTATAACCGCGTCCCTTCGCTGAACAATAAAACAGACGTTTATGGTCCGCCTGCTTCCTGCTTGGAGTTCGTGAGCTGTTGCTCGAAGTCTTCCTCGCTGATCTGGCCTTTTTTTAGTTTCTTAAGGAGGCGAGTGTCTTCTAAAAGCTCCTTCATGTATTCTTCGTCCATGTCGGAGTCCTGCAGAGGCAGAACAGAAGCCATGAGAACGAAACTGCAGTACTTAACGTTTATGAAGAGTATATTTTTTACAGATTTGCTGAAACTGTCACTATGAGGTGAGATCGATCTAGTCCACTTCCTCCCTGAGCTGTTATGGCCGTCTGAAGAAATGAACGTTCCTGGTCAAAAACAAACAATCGCAGCCAGGAGGAGGGTCCTAGCGCTGCCAATCAATGTCGTGAACGCACTGCTAAATGTGCTAATGGTGGAGAAACACCTTACTGTTAAAGGAAAACTTTATCGAGTGGCCATGCTAACTAGCCTTAGCATTCATGACAGACTATGGTAGCTGGAGATTAGTAGTTTCAACAGATATGTAAAAGAAATATGTCTATATAAATATATATATATTAATAAAAGTTGCACACTGCAGCTTTAATGTTTCATTTATCCCCCAAACAGAGTTTACCTCGTCGTGTTTCCTTTTGGCGCCGCGTTTTTTCTTGCGCTCCTTCTTGGTCTTCTGCTTGGACCAGGCCTTGTTCTTGACAAAGTTCTTCTTGGGAAGCTCCGTCTTCTCTTTGTTTTTCTGCTCGGCCAGCATCTTCTGCCTCTGCTTCTGTCGGTTTTTGTCCTTGTAGCGGATGCTGTCCGTGTCCACCGTCGTCTCCACGAAGTCGGGAAACGTTTTCCCCTTCAGCTCGGGCATCTTCGGCAGGCGGAGCAGCGCGAAGCCTTTGGCCAGGGACACAAAATCCAGATCTAACAGAAAAAGAAAAAAAAACACGAGAAGGTTTCATTTTCTTTGTTTTGTTTGGGGATAATAAAAAAAAAATACATACAGTTGGCTTTGAGGATTTGTCACCTTTTACTCTGAAGATGAGGCTGCATTCGTGTTTGGCGTAAGCCTGGACTTACGACACAAAGGCCCTCATGCCTTTGTCGAACATGGCGCGGTCGGCCAGGGCCATGGCCTTCACCTTGGGCGTCACGTCCACCACGTCCTTTATAGGAGACATCTTCTGCAGCGGGCACTGGTCAGGTCACAAGCAACACTGTTAACCCAATCACTTTGCACCGATTATCAACCGGTTCTGGTTTCTTTGAGTGAACTTTAACATCACGAAATACAACAGAAATAAAACATTTTTGCAATTGCAATTTTAAATAGACATTTGTGTATACAAAATAGAACAGGTTGAATTTGGTAATTTATTGCAAGAGATTGCAAAAAATAAATACAGAAAATTTCCCATGTCCTCAAAGGGTAGCAGATCACCATTAGCAAGAGAAAAATAGGGAAAAAAAACTGCTTTACTCTCACTCAGGATTTGATTTCTGAGGATTTCATATCACAGTAGCTCTGATCCTCCTCTGAGTGACTTCATGCTAGTAATGTTAGAGCTGAATAATCTGAGTGAGTTCTAGACAACTATTGTGAACCATCCATCATCAGATTATCAGATTATGAACGCCTGCATGGCCGATCCAAAAGGTCTTGTTGCTGACGGCTATGAACACCGCTGAAGGACCCAACTTCAGACTCACCTTCTGGTTGATGGACAAGAAGTTGACATAGGGTTCCTCCATTGGCAGCAGGAAGACGAGGGCGTTGCCATGGTTACCGATACGCGCCGTTCTCCCGCATCGATGCACAAAAGCACTGATGGAAAAAAAAAGAGCAGACAGGGAAAAATGGTTGGAGCCAAGTAGTTAGAAAAGTAACATTGTTTTAATGTTTAAGCCAATAAAATAATTCATTCTGCAACATATATCTATCTATCTATCTATCTATCTATCTATATCTATCTATCTATCTATCTATCTATCTATCTATCTATCTATCTATCTATCTATCTATCTATCTATCTATCTATCTATCTATCTATCTATCTATCTATCTATCTATCTATCTATCTATCTATCTATCTATCTATCTATCTATCTATCTATCTATCTATCTATCTATAAGGAATAGGGCCTTATTCCATATTGTATTGATTTAATTTTATTGGCTGCACAGTGGCGCAGTGGGTAGCGCTGTTTCCTTGCAGCAAGACGGTCCTGTGTTCGATTCCCGGCCCGGGGTCTTTCTGCAGGGAGTTTGCATGTTCTCCCTGTGCATGCTGGGTTCTCTCCTGGTTCTCCGGCTTCCTCCCACAGTCCAAAAACATGACTGTCAGGTTAATTGTTCTTTCAAAATTCTCCTTAGGTGTCAGTGTGTGTGTGCATGGTTGTTGTCCTGTTTGTCTTTGTGTTGCCCTGCGACAGACTGGCGACCTGTCCAGGGTGGACCCCACCTCTTGCCCGGGACGCAGCGGAAGATAGGCGCCAGCACCTCCCGACCCGATAGGGAGAAGGGTGCTCAGAAAATGGATGGATCGATGGATGGATGTTCTGTGTTTGTATGTGCTTACATTAGTTTTTTCTGTCTTAGTCTCTCGTTGTTACGGAGCCCCCTAGGGGACATGGGGATTTTTTTCTTTTGCGTCCCCTCGCAAAACTTTTGTGTTCCTTCTCAAAATGAAAAAGTTTGAGGCAGCGTTCCGGAACAAGACGAAGATGACAGTGGAGCAGACAGTACACTCGTGTGTGAGTTTTGTGAATTTTTATTTTGAAATTGGCCTGCAATATAAGAATATTCAGTCTCTGCTTGCCAAAAAGCATGGGTGTCACAACAGTATGCGACATTTGAAAAGAATACTTAGTGCACGAGGACACACTCGTCGCTACTATTTTGCTAACTTGGCAAGTCTGGTGGAATTCGTCAGGAGAGAACTTCAGTCCTCTGGACAGCTTCACGAATATCGTTGGATGTATGCCAAATGCAGGCAACATGGACTTTGTGTAAGGAAGGAGGATGTCCGTCTGATCATGAGAGAATTAGATCCAGCAGGAGTGTCCTCAAAACAAGCCAGACGTCTTCAAAGAAGAAACTACTTCTCAAAGGGTCCGAACTTTATTTGGCACATTGACTCTTATGATAAACTGAAGCCATTTGGCTTTTGTATTAACGGAAGCATCGGTGGATTTTCACGAAAGATTATCTGGCTCAATGCATACACCACAAATAGTGATCCCAAGTTGGTAGGAGGGTATTACACTGAAGCAGTAAAGCGTTTGGGAGGGTGTCCGAGAGTTGTTAGAGGGGATCTTGGTACAGAAAATGTTTATGTCAGAGACTTCCAGAGATTCCTCATTCCCACTCAGCCCAACGACCCTCTTGAAAGTTACCTCGAAGGAGCAAGCACTGCAAATCAAAGGATTGAATATTGGTGGCGCTTTCTGCGCGTGGAGTGTATGGAGTTCTGGTTGTCCTTGTTTGCTGACATCAGAAACAATGGATTCTTTGATGGGGATTTCTGGACAAAAGCATTCTACAGTTTTGCTGCATGGGACTCATACAGGTGAGTTAACTGAATCAAATGTAATATTTATATGATGGATGAGATACTTTGGAAGGAAGAAAGCCTGAAAGGCATGGACATTAAAATCAACATTAATGGTATCTGGTTATTTGTGGCGTTCACTGTCTAGTATTTTGTTCGTACAATACTTGAATGTCAAGCGAACGCTCAATTTTGTGACGTAGGTGCATACTTTCATCACACTGAAAATTGGAAATAACGCACGACGGTGGCACACCCATAAACGAAAGTGATATGTTTCTACAAAGAGAAGTAGATGTCTTTGTGTTTATATGTGGTAAATTATAATATCATGAAACAAAGCGATTCTCCAGTTGTTCTTTCGTGGTCGCTGTTCACACATCTGTGGTGCTGAAAATGCACTGGTTACTTTTTCTACCTTAATGTCATAACACGAAAGAGCAGGTTACTTGCTGTTATAGTGTGAGATTTTACACTACAGCAGCAACAAGGGAGCATTTTGACAGCTGCATTTAAACCTCTATTATAATGAAGATACATTCAATTTCATTGGCTATCATTTTTTAAAACCAAATCAAAAGTGAACGAATTTTAACCCAATAGCAGGCGTTTAAATATGCATTAAGTTTCTAACTGTGTCAAAAGTCAAACTGTTACAAGATACCAAAGTAATCTTTAAAATCAATTCATCTAAGAAATGTCACAATGTATTTCTATAACTCGGTAACAACTGTAATTGTATGAATGACAGTTCTAAACAGCAAGTCTGAAAGTACTTTATAGGAGCTGTTTCTCTTTTCTTAGTTAAATCTTATTTAGATTTAGTTAATTTTTATTTCTTCCTTATTTTCTAGTTGATTTATAATTAAAATTTTTGTTCAGTTTATTTAAAATAAGTTTGCTGGTTCACTTAAGTTAATTAATTAAATTTTGGGACGTGGGTGTTACACAGTACAGATTTGAACTAGCACATTATGCATGTGGGTGGTCAAAAGGTTTTTTACCAGTCTATTCAGTTAGTCATCAGTCAGTCTATCCAATCGGTCAGCCAGTTCATAAAAACAACAGGTGTAGGAATCAGACTGAAAGAAGTAGTGGAATCCTGTGAGGCCTGTTACTTGTTTTGTCTGAATAGTGGAATAAAACAAAGAACTGCATTTTGACCTTTTGTAGAATCCATGATGCACCATTTGCACTATTTGAGTTGAATTCACCTTTTAGTCTTACGTTTTGTTACTTTTGAATTTGAGTTTTGGACAAATAGTCAGTACAACCTAAATAAACATTATTTTGTAATTATGACATAAAACAGTGACTATGCCTAATCCTTTTTATAGCTGAGGTTAACAAAAATGTACTCAATTTTTCTGTTTTATGTTACAGGATGAGCTGGATGACACAGCACAACTATGGAATACACACCACATCAGGCCATCTAAAAACTTGCACGTTCCCAGCGGTCGGCCCAATGTGATGTATGCCCTACCTGAACTGTACAGAACTACAGACTTCCTCACTCCTTTTGAAGTAGAACAGATTCAACTGTGTAGAGATGCATGCACTTTTCGGCAGACCATACCATGTGATTCTGCTGTGTATGACATTTGCAATGTTTTAATGGCAGAATATGGTCTAATGACACCATCAGATCCATATGATTCTGTGAAACTGTACATGTTACTGAGAGATGCCATTAGAGGATTACTGTGAGTATTGACTGGAAAGAGCCTGCCATGTTAGGGTTCCAAAAATAGAAATATGAAATACAGCGGTCCTAATTTGAACCTCAGGCTGATCCCCTGCCTAAAGGAACCTCAGACTGAAAATCTTTTGGCCTCCAAGTCACTTAAAATAGCACTTTTAAATACCAGATCACTCTGTGCTAAAGCTCTATTAATTAATGATTTCATCACTGAGTATAATGTTGATGTTATGTTTCTGACAGAAACATGGTTGAATGACGATAATGACCAAATTGTACTCATTGAATCAGCGCCTCCTGACTACAATTTTTTAAGTGAGAATAGAAAACATAAAAAAGGAGGAGGCGTGGATTCTATATTTAAAAATACCAAAACTGTAGTAAAATCTTTCGGTCATTTCACATCTTTTGAGTATCTTGGAATTCAGGTTAAAGGCTTCAAACGAACTTTGACACTAACTTTATACAAAACTCCAGCATATGTGGAAAATTTCTTGACTGACTTGAATGATCTTTTATCTCTCATATGCATTGATTTTGATTGTTTAATAATTGTTGGTGATTTTAACATTCATGTGGACAAACCCGAAAACAGAGGAGCAAAAAAGCTCTCTGATATTTTAGAAAATTTTGGTTTAACACAACATGTTAAACAGGCAACACACACTCAAGGACACACACTGGACCTGGTTATCAGTAAGGGTGTGACTATTTCCAATGTCTCTGTAACTGATGTCGCCCTGTCGGATCACTTTGCTGTTATCTTTGAAGGTTCTTTATTCTTTGACCCACTTGGACAACAGCTACTGTCACAAAAC